TTAAAATAGTGTCAACAACAATTTTGTTTAATTTTTTTAATGTTTATTCATTTTTGAGAGGAAGAAAGAGGTGGGGGGGAGGGGCAGAGAGAGAGGGGGACACAGAATCCGAAGCAGGCTCCAGGCTCCGAGCTGTCAGCACAGAGCCCGACGCGGGGCTCGAACTCACGAACTGTGAGATCGTGAGCTGAGCCGAAGTCGGACGCTCAACCGACTGAGCCAACCAAGTGCCCCCAAATAGTGTCCACGACAATTGTATGCAATAAAATAATTTGGGGGATTGAAGAGAAAGGGATATATGTGAAAGATGTGGGGGAACAGGACTTAGTCAAAAGGTTATTTCTGCGTTTCATTCTGTGACCAAGAGGCACCTCACTGAGTTATGCCCACATGTAAATAAAATTAAATCAGTCATATACGTTTGCATTTTGACATCCTAACTGTAGACCCCCCAACCCCTATAAACCCCACACTGGAAACAGGCCACTCTGTGTGTTTGTATCAAACTTCAGTTGGTACCATCCCTCAATTTACCCCCACTGGAGTTCCTGTACTTTATACCCTCTTATCTACAATCACTAACAGTTCTGCTTGTCTGGAGCTGAGGGTTCGCGGAGGGCTTGGGGATAAATGCATCAGCCATCGCATCCACACTGGGTGAACCAAAGAGCACGGCGTTATGGCGATAGCATCGTAAGGCAGCTGTATTACGTGTAGTGCCGTGCACTGTGTTACTTACCTTAATACCCACGGTAATCCTCAGATGCCCACTGATGGGGTCACCATCTCAAAGAGATTCATGAACGTGCCCAAGTTTATAGGATAGTGAGGGGACTTGACCCAGGAATACCTGGCCCCCAAGTCCCTGACCTCTTCACTGCTCCATTACACCTTCCACACTTACTTCTACAGCATTGAAAGACACAAACATTTCTTGGTATTAAGAATGGATAATATTTCATTGAACCCAGGAGTATGACTCGAAATGCCATCCCTGGAGGATTCTTGAAATCTAATTGAATAGTGTGTACCTGTCTGAACTAAGTAACCATTCAACTTCCCAAGGCTTATGGGGTTAAAATAGCAACTCTGACCTTCTCGAGGGTTACACTGTGTCTAAGCGGTTTAGGAGCGTGAAGAATCCCTCACCAGCCATGGAGCTGAATGACGCACTCATTCGACTGGATCGACTGGGCAATAAATGTTCCCAGAACGTGCAACAAACTTTTGGGGCTTCACCGAGTCAACATGCCCACAGACAGTGGATGCTATCAAGCCCGAAGTACGCTATGCAGATTTGGGGGTGAGACTACTGTGGAAAGGACATGTGAAATGATTTGGGGGACTTCCTTACCATTTGATAAAGTGAAACTCTTGTTCATGTGGATTTGTGGGGGTGACTTCTTCCAAAGTCATCATCGAAAAATAAAACGAGTTAAGTGAGAACTACGGAGACAATTTAACCAACTTCCTGAATCCCATTTATTCCAACTACTGTAATAATTTAGTATCATTTGATAGTATCACTTGGAACAGTTTAAGAGATTTCCAAGGATAACTTCGATATACATGATAACTACTTGAGGCACTGGTTTTAGAGCTTGATCCCAGAATAAAACACAATCCCGTTGCATTAGGGTTTTTTGTTTATTTGTCTGTTTACAAACATTTATTATGGCACGTGTTTATTCTTTGATCGATAATATAATAGCTAATATTTTTTGAAGGCCTATTAATGTTACGTACAAGCACAATGCTAAGTTCCTTATATGGTTATCTCTGTTCTGTTAGGTAGATACTATTATTATCCTTTTTACAGACGAGAAATCAGAAGGTCAGGGAGTCTAAGGGTCACACCGCTACGAAGAGCAGATATTTTATTTTCAGAGGATGAGTTCTTTTAATTATTTGGTGCCAGGGTAATACATGGGCAAATTTTGTGTGAGGGGCCGTCTCATATTCACAGGCTCTAGGTTCTCTGAGAATAGAGTCTGTCCATCTTACACTGTGTCTTGCACAGAGTCTGTGCTTAATCAATGTTTCCTAAAAAAATAAACGCACCCCTGAGAATGTGCTGAGAATGAATTTGTTACTGAGGAAGAACTTCTTGAGAGGTGATCTATCACAATCTATATTTAATCCGTTTTTCAACAATGCCCAAAGAAGAAATGAGAACCCGACAGTGAAATGCGAGTCAGTGCTAATCTAGGCATATGTCCGGCCCTTAAAATCTGATCACCAAGACGGGTCAAATGGTTAAGATTAGAAACAAAAACAAAAACAAAAAACCCACGTCTTCGTAAACCACTTTATATCGATCTTATTCTCTGAGAAGCCCTTCCCCCAAAGACTCCTTCAAGGAGTACAGTTTCTTGATTTATTTTTTTTTTTAATTTTTTTTTTCAACGTTTATTTATTTTTGGGACAGAGAGAGACCGAGCATGAACGGGGGAGGGGCAGAGAGAGAGGGAGACACAGAATCGGAAACAGGCTCCAGGCTCCGAGCCGTCAGCCCAGAGCCTGATGCGGGGCTCGAACTCCCGGACCGCGAGATCGTGACCTGGCTGAAGTCGGACGCTTAACCGACTGCGCCACCCAGGCGCCCCCAGTTTCTTGATTTAAACAAACCCTCGATTCAGTGCCTGCTGTGGTCTCTCTCAGTGCTCAGATTTGTGACCTCTCTCTGTTAGGTCTCTTGAAGACCCCCCTGTCGCCTACCTGATGGTTGTTCACAAAATAATCGCCCCCTAAGCGCCTCGCAAATCCATCCAGTTCTCTTTACTGTTACCAGCTGTCATCACCTGCCTAAACCACTGGTTCCCAAACTTGGCCACATGGGGGACCAATCTGGGGAGGTTTTTAAATTACTGATGCCTGGGACCACCCCACCCCGCCCCACCCCACCCCTGCACCAGATCATCCTGATTTAATTGGTATGGGTATCTCCTGGGCATCTGGCTTGCGAAAAGTGATGTCACTGAGGGTGAGAACCTTTAGCCTAACCACTGCTGGGGGCAGCGGGCAGGGGTGCTCCTGACTCAGCATATTCAGTCCCTGCCTCACCCGACTCCCCACCCGGCCTCCCTTTCCTTCTCATTTTCACAATGCACTTTTAATCATGGCGTCTCCACCCTCCTTAAAACTTTTTAGTGATTTGCCATTTATCTCAGGCTAGAGGTGCCAGAGCTGAAAATGGCCTGTATACCCTCTCCTTGTTCCTGTCTTTAAATCTCTAGTTACATCCTGCTCCACCCTTCCTGATCTCTGTGCTTTAGCACATTTTTTTTAAGTTTCTCAAACATGTTGTGTTCCTACCACAGGGCCTTTGCACACTCTGTGCTCGCTCTGAAGCTCTTCCCCTACTCCTCGCTTAGTGAACTTTTCGCTCATCATTTCCTCAGGGAAACCCATTAAGCGCTCCTATAGCACCACATAAATTCTGCTCTATCGCATTTATGCCAGGTGAAATGGTATGCTTATTTCTATCCCGGTTCTGGTTGAAGCTTCCTGCATGTAGAAACGTTGTGTCTATTTTTGTTTGACACTGTATCGCCAAAACCTTGCACACTGCTTGGCATACAAATAGGCTCTCAAATCATTTACTGGAAGAACACAGACGAATGAATGAAAACGCTCTCACAGCAAGTCACTGAGTCCAACTGATGTCACCTCCAAAATATCTCTGGAATCCATTCCTCCTTTTTCATTTTCCCTGCTGGTCCAAGCCCCATCGTCTCCGTTCTAAGCTGGCAAATAGCCTCCTGGCTGGTCGGCATGCCCTACCTCTTGTCCCTCTCCAAACAGGGCCTTAGCAGCAGCTAGAATTGATCTTTTCAAAATACAAATGATCGGTCACTCCTCCGCTCGAACCCTTCCAGGTCTTTGTTTTGAGATTCGAATCCAGGCGCCCTCCCTGACCACACACCCGCTACACCGGGTTCCTTTCTGTTCCTCAAACAAGCCTAGGCCTTTCCTGCTTTCAAGCTTTTGGACTTACTGTTTGTTCCTTTCTCCTGAAACGCTCTCTAACGTGACTCATTCCTGTGTTGCAGGGCTCCGCTAAAATTGCATAGAGGTTTTCCCTGACTGTGCTATTAAAAGCAAAAACTCCCTTGAGTTCACTTATCACCCTGCCTGTTTCCCTGATAGCACCACTGCAGTCTATAATGTTGACAAAGCGTGCTTGGTTGTGCTCTGTAGGCCCCCAAGAATGTCAGCTCCATGAAAGCAGATGTGCTGTCTATCCAGGTCACTGTACCCCCCGTAGACAGCACCGTGGCTGGTTCATAAAGGGTGCTCAGTCAATGAGTGAGCTTGGTTGCCAGCTTCCAAAGCGGACCCCAGTAATTCTCACCCCGTGGTACCCGTGCCTTATGTAATCCTTGCACACTGCCTCAGTAGGACCATTCAGAAGTGACAGTGTGTGGCTTCTGCCCCCGGGTCAGAAAAGGCATTACCGTGTCCCCCTTCATCCCAGATTGCCCATTCTAGGTAGGGGGAGCTAACTGCCGTGCCCTCGGGACATTTGGCACTGGTGTGAGGAGACCCACCCGGAAAGGCACTGAGGCCCCAGTCATGAGCCAGCACGTGAGTGACGACCATGTGAATGAGCCACCTTGGAGGCAGACCCTCCGGCCCCAGTCAAGCCTTCAGATGATGCCCCGCTCACTGCAGGTGACTGATTCCTTGAGAGAGAAACCCTGAGCCAGAACTGCCCATCTAAAAGGTGAAAATCATGATCATTTATCTGATAAACCACTAGGTTTTGGAGTGAGATGTTCCTCCACGATAGATAACTCATACACACTTGCTCGGCGGGTCAGTGACTATTTCGACATGAATTATCTCTTGAATGGGTCAGGCTTCAACCCTCACTGGGTAGGGGGCTGTCCAACCCTGTTCCTTGTCTAATGCTGCCTGCTGCACTTTCCAGCACCTCATTTTCAGTTGCCTACGGATCCCAGCTTGACACGTCTCTGGCCGAAAACCATTATTTCCATCAGAGACACCAACAATCCTGCGGTCGGAGCGGGTGGCTGTGCAACGAGCTTTAATGCCTCGTGAGTTCTCGTGAGTTCTCTCTTGATGGTGTCCTTCCTCACTCCAAATGCTGCACCACCTGAATCTTCTTCTCATTTCCTGTGAAGCCTCCCTCCATTCATTCTCTGGAGGGCCCGGATCGACGACCCACCAGCTGCTGGATGGAGTGAGTTTCTTAAAGTCTGTAATGCTCGGTTTTCTCTTCTGCTACGTGGAGTAAATAATAATAGCTACATCACGGGGGCTGTGACTCATTGCAACCACGAGTGTATACACGTGTGTGTGTGTGTGTGTGTGTGTGTGTGTGTATCATTCAGCACAGTTCTGGGCCCATGACAGACATTTTAAATACTAACAGCTATGCTAAACTACAGACTTCCGATGGGGCGCCTGGGTGGCTCAGTCGGTTAAGCGGCTGACTTTGGCTCAGGTCATGATCTCGCGGTCTGCGAGTTCGAGCCCCGTGTCGGGCTCTGTGCTGACAGCTCAGAGCCTGGAGCCTGTTTCCGATTCTGTGTCTCCCTCTCTCTGACCCTCCCCCGTTCATGCTCTGTCTCTCCCTGTCTCAAAAATAAATAAAACGTTAAAAAAAAATTTTTTTTAAACTACAGACTTCCGAGCAGTCGGGTTCAGAGAAGCTGAGCGTCTTGCCCAACACTGAAGAGTCAGGGCATGCGGGCCCACAGTGGCCCTGGGGCCTGAGTCCTCCTGGCTGGAGACCTCCCTGCTCTCTCACCTTCCACGAGCCTCACCATCCCCCCACCACGTCCCGGCTGCGGTGTCCCTGCCTGGGGGCCCCTGTTCCCTCTGCCTGGAACCTCATCCATCAGGGCCTAGCATGTTCTAGACCCCACCTTCCAGCTCCCACTCAGCTAGTCGCTTAGTCATTCTCTGGCAGGCTGGTTGTTGCTTCACCTTCCTGATTCTATTGGGAACGCCCCGTGGCTAAGGTCAGAGGCTGGGCTTGGCACTCACCTCCTCCCATGGTACCCGGCACGGTGTTAGGGACACAGAACCTGGTAAATACTCAACTGGGTTGCTAAACACTCCCCTGGTTCCATAGGGCGGAAAGAATTAAGAATTGTCGTCTAAAACAAGCAGGGGAGAAAACCTTTCGTGTCTTTCTGTCTCACCGGATTAGAGGAATTGGAAAGAAGGTCTTGTCTATTACCACTTTGGTAACCCAAGGCCCACCTGGATTACCCCCTGCTAAGGAAGCTGACTTCAGACCCGAACGTTCTCGAAAGGGCAAGCCGCTTAGCTGGTTCTCCTGCCCACCTCTTCTCTCCAGCTACTCAGCCCCTGGCGGCTCCCGTCCCCCCTCAGGCCTCATCCTCAGCCCTGATCTGCACCCATACCCACCCTGGCTTCCGTTAATACAACCGTCCCGGGGCCCCCTGTGGGACCCCAACTTCTACCGTCCTACACTCCCTCCCGGCACCTCCTTCCCTAGAGCTCATCTCAGCCCCCAGCCTCCCTCTCCCCTCATCTCCCGCCCTGCTCAGCCTCCACCCGTCTCCCACCTCCCAGAACCCAGCTTCGCACCCCTGGGAACCTATTATGCCAGATGCCTCCTGCCCACATGCGGCCCGTCGGCCTCATCTACTGCGCCCGCCCCCCCCCCCCCCCCCGCCCCTCCGTGGCTCCACTGTCTAGAGATGAATCGCCTGGGCCTGACTCCCACCCTCCTGGCTGCTGGTGTTTGCTCTTCCCCTGGGACCTGAGCCCCATCCCTGGCTAGCCACTCTTCTCAGGGGAGAACAGGTGGAAGGGTGGGCCCTCCTCACCCCCAGCCGCTCCCTCCACCATCCTCCTACTCGGTTTCTTACTCTTTCTCAAGCAAGAAGAAAGTGACTCACTTTAAAGAAAACTATTAGATAAACAGTAGTGCAGGTGACACCCAGCTGTGACAGAGGCCATATGGGTTACAGGTCAAGCACAGAGCTTGGCCTCTGCCTGAATGCTATGTCTCAAATGGCCTGGGTCTGAACTCTGCCCCTCCTACCTGCTGCCTGGTGATCTGGGTCATTAACTGTCTCAGAAACTCGATCCCCCCCTTCTTGGAAAACACCACTTACCTAAGAGTGGTGTTACGAGGACAAAATATGTTCCTGCCACAGGGTAAGAGCTCCAGAAACAGTGGGGTTAACTCACTTACAAAGCCTGTCAACGCAGCGACTCCTTCCCCTCACTAAAATTCAAGGCATCCATGAGGACAGGAATACAAGTAATGTCTACACTGGCATCCACGTGTGTACCCCCGGCTCACATCTGGGGGAGGGCTTGGCCCTTCATAGCCACACATGTTGCAATGTACAGGGAACTTAGAATTTTTGAAACATGCCTCCAAATGTCAAATTGTCATAAAGTCGTTTAAAATGGGAGAACAAGGGGGCCTCTGGGTGGTTCAGGCACTTAAACGTCCAACTTCAGCTCAGGTCATGATCTCACAGTACGTGAGTTCAAGCCCCACATCAGGCTCACTGCTGTCAGTGTGGAGACTGCTTCAGATCCTCTGTCCACCCCCGCATTGCCCCTCCCCTACTGATGCCCTTTCTCCCAAAGATAAATAAAACATTTAAAAAAAAAATGGGAGAAAAGAAAAAAACTTCCTCAATATAGTTAGGCACCACAAGGAATTTGTTGAGTGACGAGAGGCTCGGTAAGAAGCAGTCACACTTGAGCCTGCTTCCTAGCAAGGACATTTCTGCGTTTTCTTTTCTTTTTTATTAAGTTTGTTTATTTATTTTGAGAGAGCGCGCACGTGCACGCACAAGTTGGGGAGGGGCAGAGCGAAGGAGAGACAGAATCCCAAGCAGGCTTGGTGCCATTCGCGCAGAGCCCTTAACTCATGAACCACGTGATCAGGACCTGAGCCAAAGTCAGATGCTTAACCAGCTGAGCCACCCTGACATTTCTGCATTTTTATCCTTGAATTCTATAGCGAGCTGGAAAAAAGGAGAGGCGGAAACAGCCCTTGGGCCAGCCTCTAAATTCTTCTTCCTGCACCTCGACACACACACACACACACACACACACACACACTGTCCCCAACTTGATTGGTCCCAGACACGTCCCTGATGGCTAGAAGCCCACGAAAGAGACTCATCGGAGGCAAGTGTGATCTGAGAGAGGAAGAGCAGTTGACCTGACTTACCAATCTTGTAAAATGGCAGAGAATAGTCCCTTTGGTAGGTGGTTTCTTTATACCATGGTTCAGCGGGCCTTGAATGTCTTCGAAAACAAATGTATCGAATGAGAGTTTGTTGGTCTAATTGAGGCTGATACTGGCTTTTTCTCTTGGGTGGAATTGTCAAGTCTATGAGAGGTCTAAATGAAAATAGAAACAGCTTGCTGAGCACCCAGTAGAAGAAAAGCAGTCCAATGTTCTCATCAGCTGAAATCCACTCTCTGGAAGCAGCCAGGAGGCTACAAAGATACTATTGGTAAGACTCCATGGCACCAAGGCCAGCACAGCGGGGTTTTCAGCAGGTGGCTCGAGGATCCCAGTCCCTTGTTCCCCCATGGTAGCATCCCTCCTCCTCCTCAACCACAGGTTCCAGAAGACGACCTGCATTGAAACCTCCACTGGGTCTGCTCAAGTGTGGCTACTTCCTGTACTCTGCTTCCTGCACTCTGGCTATCTCCTGTACCGTACTTCCTGTGCCCTGGCTACTTCCTGTACTCCACATCTCCCCAGTGCCCTTTCCCATCGTAATTTTCTTCCCTATGGATGTTTGGTTCCCTCCAGGAACCAACACTGTCTTCTGACCAGGCTAACCACTATGGTGCAAGTTGGTGTTGGGTGAACCTGAAATCAGTTATAACCTTCCTGTCCCTCCACTCAGATAAGTCCCCTCTGAAAGTAAAAGTAAAGAAGAATCAAAATTTAATGGTGAAATATCTTCATACACGTGTGGGAGTTTACACTCACTGGTGCAGCTTGCTTGAGAACACTTTGGTGGTGAGTATTAATATCTTTAAAATGTGCATATACTTTGTCACAGCCAACTCCGGAAATTAGGGGTGTCACCAAAGACATAGCTCGAAGAATGTTCACCAAAGAATTTTATGATAATAAAAGAATGGAAACAATCTTCATGTGAAAAAAGAGGGATTATTTAGAAAATGATACAGACATGTACAGGAATATCATACCACCATTAAAAGTGATGCTGTGGAATTATAAATTTTGAGATGGAAGAAAGTCCACAATAAATAATTAAGTTTGAACAAAGGTTTCAGTTGAATTGAACACTTTAAATGGATGAGCTCTATGGTGTGGGAATTATGTCAGGAAAACTGTTATACAAAACAAGGTTTCAATCATCAAAATATCAGCAAACTGAATTCAACAACACATTAAAAGGATCGTACACCATGACCAAGTGGGATTTACTCCAGGGCTACAAGGAAGGTTCAACATCTGCAAATCAATCGACATAATATGCCACATTAACAAATTGAAGGAGGGGCGCCTTGGAGGGCTCAGTCGGTTGGGCATCCAACTTCAACTTGGGTCATGATCTTGCAACTCATGGATTTGAGCCCACATCGGGCTGTCTGCTGTCAGTGCAGAGCCTGCTTTGGATCCTGTCTCCCCTCTGCATCCCCCCCTCTCTCGCAAAAATGAATAAAACATTAAAAAATTGAAAGATAATAATCATACCATCATCTCAGTAGATGTGGAAAAGAATGTGACAAAATTCAACATCCATTAATGATAATGTGGGTATAAAGGGAACATATTTCAACATAATAAAGACTATATATGAAAGCCCACAGCTAATCTCATATTCCAAATTAGAAAGCTGTAAGCTTTTTTCTAAGATCAGGAGTAAGACAAGGATGTCCACTCTCACTACTTTTATTTAACGTATATTGGAAGTCCCAACCAGAGCAATTAGGCAAGGAAAAGAAATAAAAGGTATCCAAATAGGAAAGTCAGAAGTAAAACTGTCTCTATTTGCAGATAGCATGATCAATATATAGAAAACTGTAAAGACTCCACCAAAAAAATGTTAGAACTAATGAAGGAGTTCAGGGAAGTTTCAGGATATGAAATCAATGTAGAAAAATGTATTGCATTTCTATACACTAACAATAAACTATCAGACAGAGAAATTAAGACAACAATCCTATTTACAATTGCATCAAAAACAATCAATAGGAGTACATTTAACCAAGGAGGTTAAAGACCTACACATTGAAAACCGTTAAGACACTGATGAAAGAAATGGAAGAAAACACAAATAAATGGGAAGATATTCTGTGTCCATGGATTGGAAGAATTAATATTGTTAAAATGTCATACTATCCAAATCCATCTACACATTTTATGCAATTCCTATAAAAATTCCAAAGGCAGGGGCATGTGGATGGCTCAGTCAGTTGAGAGCCCGACTCTTGGTTTCGGCTCAGGTCGTGATCCTGGGCTCATGGGATCGAGCCCTGTGTCGGGCTTTGCACAGGCACGGAGCCGGCTTGGGATTCTCTCTCTCTCTCCCTCTGCCTCTTACTCTCTCTTTTGAAAAAAATAAAAAAGTAAATAAATAAATAAAATAAAAATTCCAAAGGCATTCTTTCACAGGACTAGAACAAAGAATTCTAAAATCCTAAAAATCCCACAAAAGAGTCCAAATATCTAAAGCAATCTTGAGAAAGAGAAACAACATGGAGACATCATGCTTCCTGGTTTCAAATTATATTATAAAGCTATAGCAATTAAAGCAGTATGATATTGTCATAAAAAAGACACATATGTTACATATACCAACAGAACAGGATAGTGAGCACAGAAATAAACCCACATCTATGTGGTCAATTGGTTTAGACAAAAAAAAAAAAAAATCCCCAAAATATACAATGGAGAGAGGATAGTCTCTTTATTTTTTTTTTATTTTTTTTCAACGTTTATTTATTTTTTTGGGGGGGGGGGGACAGAGAGAGACAGAGCATAAACGGGGGAGGGGCAGAGAGAGAGGGAGACACAGAATCGGAAACAGGCTCCAGGCTCTGAGCCATCAGCCCAGAGCCTGACACGGGGCTCGAACCCACGGACCGTGAGATCGTGACCTGGCTGAAGTCGGATGCTTAACCGACTGCGCCACCCAGGCGCCCCGAAGATAGTCTCTTTAGTAAGTGGTGTTGGAAAAAATGCAACATGCAAAAGATGAATTATCTTATACACAAAAAGCAACTCAAAATTAGTTAAAGACTTGAAGGTAAGACCTGAAACCATAAAACTCCTAGAAGAAAACAATAAGGAGTAAATTCCTTAACATCAAGCTTAGCAATGAGTTTTTGGATTTGACACCAAAAGTAAAGGCAACAAAAACACAAATAAACGGGACTACATCAAACTAAAAAGTTTTTGCACAGCGAAGGAGAGCAACAAAATAAAAAGGCAACCTGTGGAATAGGATAAATATTTGCCAATCATATATCTGATAAGGAGTTAATGGCCAAAATACACAAACAACTCCTACAAGTCAATAGTAAAAAAAACAAAAAACAAAAAACAAAAAAAACCCGTCTGACTAACAAACGGGCAGAGAATCAGAACATTTTTTTTCCCGAAGAAGACGTATGGATGCCAAACAGACTCATGAAGAATGCTCCCCGTCACTAACCATCAGGGAAATGCAAGCTGAAACCACAGTGAGCTGTCACCTCCCACCTGTTAGAATGGCTAGTATCAAAAAGGCAAGAGATAAGAAGTGTTGGCGAGGAGGTGGAGAAACGGGAACCTTCGTGCGCTGTTGTAGGACTGCAAACTGGTGCAGCCATTGTGAACAGTATGGAGGTTCCTCCAAAAGCTAGGACTACCAGGAGTTCCCCTTCTGGGTACACATCCAAAGAAAGTGAAATCCCTGTCTCAGATATCTGTATCTCTATGTTCATTGCAGCATCATTTGCAATGGCCAAGACATAGAAACATTCTAAGTGTTCATTGATGGATGAATGGATAGAGAAGATGTTGTTGTATACATACATATATATATATATATATATGTTTTTCTCATATATGTATATATATATATATATATGTGAAAAAAGATCAGATAAAAACAAGGACCATATGATCTCACTTATACGTGGAATACAAAAAAACCAAACACATAGAAAAAGAGAACAGATTGTGGCTGCCAGAGGCAGACTTGGGCGGGGGGGGGAATGGGTGAAGGAGGTCAAAATGTACGAACTTCCAGATAAATAAATTCTAGAAGTGTAATGTACTGCATGGTGATTATAGGTAATAATATGGTATTGTGTATTTGAAAGGTCCTAAAATGGTAGACTTTAAAAGTTCTCATCATGAGTAAAAAAAATGTGCAACTATATGAAGTGAGTCCCTCATCGAGTCCTGCATTGAGCCCCATATTGGGTTCTGCCCTGGTAGGCGAAGCTTGCTTGGGATTCTGTCTCTCTCCTTCTCTCTCTGCCCTTCCTGCACTCTCTAAATAAATAAATAAATAAATAAATAAATAAATAAACAAACTTAAATAACGCCCAAGTGACTGTTCTTTGTTTTTTCCTTTTCTTTTTGTTAAAATCACATTTGGAAAGACAGAAACCAAATTCACAATTTTACTGAGAGGGAAACTGACTCTCAGGAGGGTAAGTTTTTTGAACAAGTTGAAACTCTAAACTCTTGGTGTTTCTTACATTTCTTTGATGATTTAGTAACATTCTATATTTATTGTTGATTACAAAAGTAATATATGTTCTTTAGAGAAAAATCTGGAAAACAGAGAGAAAGATGAAAAATAAAATACAGATACCAATGATCTTAACCAGTCATAAAACATCATTGTTAAGTTTGGTGTATTTTGTTCCAAGCTTTTTTTTTAGCCATTAAATAATAATTATTATTGTTATCATTATTATGACTACAAATTGTCATCCCTCCCCCCCCTTTTTTTTTCATTTTATCATTCTAACTTTAATGAAATTTTTGTAAACTAAGATTTAGGAAGGTCTCCTCACCTGGGAGGTCTCTTCGCACTAGAATCAAAGTGGACTCTTGCCAGCTGCCCGGGGTAATATCCTTGGATGTCCTTTCCTTGATGAGCGATGAATACACTAGTGGAGAAAGTAAAAGGGTGATTAAAAAAAAAAAAAGCAATTAGTTCTTTACAACAGAATGCCAGCTGTGGTATAATAAAAAATACATGTAGTCTTTGCTTCCGGTTTCTGGCACAGAGCTCTGGAAACCTTTCGAATTTCTTGATAGGGCTGTCTTCTGTTATCCATTTTTCAGGATTTCCTTCTCAAGAGTCATAAGGAAGTATTTGATGTGTCAGGTATTAGGTTCAAACTATCAGAAAAAGAAATAAGAGGCTATTTAAAATCAGTGGGGGCAAATGTTGATCATTGTTGAAATGAGGGAATGGTGATGTGGGGGCTTCTTATACTATTTTTTCCCCTACTTTTGGTAGGTTTACAAACTTGCCCAAGTATTTTAGATTTTTTAAAAGCTGTGACAATTAAGTGTATGGGGCAAGAAATGAATAGGCTCTATGATGGCCAAAGCACAGGGCGCTTGTGGGCAGGAGGAGGGAACTTAGCTTTGCCAGGGAGGGCTGGGTTGTAAAGACATTTTGAAGCACAAATCGGTGGGGGGGAGGAAGTGCTTTTGGGGTGTGAAGTTGAGCAGGGGTGGGTGGGCGTGTACAGCTGAACCAAGGCAAGGTGAGGCAAGGGTGCCGGGATATCCAGACCCTACCGTTTGAAAGACATCTTATTTTGGGGTGCCTGAGTGGCTCAGTTCAAGTACCCGACTCTTGATTTCGGCTCAAGTCACGATCTCATGGTTTGTGGATTCGAGCCCCACATCGGGCTCTGCGCTGACACTGTGGAGCCTGCTTGGGATTCTCTCTCTCTCTTTGCCCCTCCCCAGCCCTCCCCTGCTTTCTCTCTCTCTCTCAAAAAATAAACTAAAAAAAAAAAGTTTTGAAAGACGTCTTACTTTATAACCAATTACTTTTCCTTTTAGATTATGGTCACTGCATTATGTTGCCGTTTCAGAATTACGTGTAGTTGGATTATGTTAGGCATAAAGGGGGCGTTGTGTCCGAGAGGTTGGGAACCACTCACTAGGGGGCAGGGAATCTTGGTAGCATTTTTAAAAAGAAGATTAATGACATAGTGCAATTTTTATTTTAGAAAGATCTTTGCTAGTGGCTGTGTGGACAATGAAGGCGAGGAGTCTGACTGAAGTACAGAGACTGGCCAGGAGGCAGGTGTCGTCATTTATGTGGGACACGGAAAAACCCGAGCTATGTGTTGGGGAAGGTGGCTGGAGAGGACAGGGGACACCGTGGGAGAAAGGGTTGAGGCTGGGAGGGAGGCGTCCAATACAAGGACAGGCTTGCCTTACGGCTTCAGGCATAAGGAAGAAGGCTGCCACTCCTCTGGAGAGGGAGGGGACACAGGTAGGTGACCATCGTGGGGAGAGTTTGTGATATGTAGGTGTTTGGGCACTTCCACAGGTTCTGAGCTCTCAGACGATGCTATTTCAGAGTTCCAAGGGAAGACTTGGTAGAAAACAGTACACAGTTTTGCACGAAATAGCTCACCAAACACGCGTTGGGTGATGAATGGAAATCTGAACCATGTCCGCAGTTCAACCAGCACTTAACTGAATTCACACAACGTGCCTGCACACTGAGGTTTCTTAGATACAGATCTAGGAGCTGACTTGTCCTCATAATGCTCTTTTTTTGTTGTTGTTGTTTTAAAGTTTATGTATTTTGAGAGGTCCGGGGAGGGGCAAAGAAAAAGGGAGAGAGAGAGAATCCCAAGCAGACTCCATGCTGTCAGCCCAGAGCCCGACGTGGGGCTCGAACTCACAAACTGTGAGATCACGACCTGAGCCGAAATCAAGAGTCGGACGTGTAACCGACTGAGCCACCCAGGCGTCCCTTTGCTCTTTATGTGCTGAAATGGTGATCTGAATAAAGGGTCAGTGGGGTCGTGGTTGAGGGACGGATGTCCAGGATTTGGGCAAGCAAACAGGATGGGGAAGACATTCGTGGTGAGGGGAATTTCAGAAGCCAAGATGAGGCCAGAGTTGGGGTCAAAGTGGAGTGTGCGGGGGGCCAGTGGGGACCTCGCTGTCTAACCAGTGCGAAAGGCAAGTGCTGTGAACAGGGCGGGTCTGTCTGTCTATGCAAACAGGGCCTCCGGGAGCTCTGACTTTTCAGAAAAACCACAGGCTGTCTGGGCCTGCCCAGTGGCTTGGATAAAGTGACTGAGCCCCGAAGAGTAAATACGAGCAGGGATGAAGTCATAAGAAAGGAGAGGAACCGGCACAATCATAGGGAACAAATGACATTTCTGAGAGCCTGGGACTTTCTTGGGCACCCGTCCCGTGGCTGAAGCACTCCCTTGGAAAGATCCCCCTAGCGCCCTGTTACAGTCTGTGAGCAATCCAGCCGGGGTTCCGAAGCCACACTGGTCTCTCACAGCTGCTGTGCCGTTCTCAGTAGGCCGAGTTTTGACCGTGGATTCTCACAAGCATGCTTGTAACAGACGCCTGCCGAATACAGGCGAGTGACCTAAGCACTGCTCCGTAGAAGCCGTCCGTAAAAGCTGTTTTGAGGATGGAGAAGCCCTTCTCTGCCAGCACCAGCTCCCAGGCCCTGGGGGGGGTTCTCTTGGTAGGTTTTGGCCCAGGAGCGGGGAGGCGGAGGGAAGCGCGTAAGCAGGTGCTGAAGGGAAGGGGGGCTGGGTGGAGAAGTGGAAAGGATTGGGGAAGGGTGGGCAAACTCTTCGGGTGGACTTTCCCAGCTCCCCACGTGGCCTGACTTCACCTTCCAGAAGAGGAAGATCCCAGTCGAGAGGTTAATGAGGGGCAAAGCGTACGTAACCTGGCCTGTCAGTCAGGAGCTGGCCTCTCCTGGCGGGGCTGGGTGCGTGAGTGGGGGAAGCAGCGGTCTCTCCAGACCTGGCCGCGGACCCCTGCCTGGGCTCTGCTCAGACCCATCGATTGGCTTGGCTTCTAAGATTCCTGAATGAGTTGTGGGAAGGTTGGCTTCTAAGACCCCTTCTCCTCCTCCTCCAGACTCCTGCTTCGACCGATTCCCCCACACGTTGTCTGCCAGCCCCTCAAAGCTTGGCTCTTTGAGGTGATGTGGTCTGTGCAGACGAGAGCGTGTGTAGCCGGAGCAGAAACCTGGGCTTAGCCGCAGACGGAATCCAATATGCACAGGGGAGGTCCGGCGTGTTCGTCCCTCAAGAGCCTGGCCCCGTGACCTGAGGTGGCCCTGCAGTCCTCTGTTATGTCTGTGCTGGGCCTCAGGCTTTATGAGGCTCCTTTACATGGGTGATCTCATCTAATCCCTAGTCACCTTGCCAGGTAAACATTATGAACAACAGGGGACCGAGGTTCAGAGAGGTCAATTGGGCCCTCCAAAGATCACCTGGCTGGTAAATGCCAGAGCCAAGGATCAAACCCGTTCTCTGAGCTCCACGTTGCACCCAGAGTCATCTCTCAGTGTGCAGGATGGCTGGCTTTCAGAAGAACCTAGTGCTATTTTTATATGAACTCTGTGATTCTCTCACGGGCAGGCAGGAAGTCGATGCCGTGCACCGAAGGCACAGGGGAAGAAACAGACATGGCCGTGTTAGCTGGAAGCTGTCCTTGGTTCAAGGAAACAAGCCGTCTTTGCAGGCTCTGAGGTGTCCGCCGTGTGCAGGGGACAGGGAGACAGTGACATTCAACATTCTCTTTTACCCAAGAGTTCACGATCTGGCAGGAAAACCACACTCGGGCACTAACTGATCATACACGATGAGTAAGTGCTGTGTCAGGGAGGACCAGGCTCTAGGGAATGAGTCACTTAGTAAGGACACGAGCTGGTTGGCGCAGAGGATGGGAGACCGCCATGCCCGCTCTGCTATCTTCCAGACTCACTATCCCCTCCAGGAAGAGGGGGGCGTCAGGTATCAGTAAAGTGGGGGCGGGGGGGGGGGGAACTGATCAGCTATGGCTCCGTGTGGCTCCGTGAGTCAACGGGACATTGCGGACATACTTGGTGATCTGGGGTAGGTGTTACCATGACTCCGGGCAGGATGAGCTGACCCCTCCAGCTGCCTCTTGATCTCCCAGAGACCACTTCAGCCAGTGTTTTAAAAATCCACTCTTGGGGCACCCGAGTGGCTCTGTCGGTTAAGCGTCCGACTTCGGCTCGGGTCATGATCTCACAGTTTGTGAGTTCGAGCCCCGCGTCGGGCTCTGTGCTGACAGCTCGGGGCTTGAAGCCTACTTCACATTCTGTGTTTCCCTCTCTCTCTCTGCCCCTCCCCCACTTATGCTCTCTCTCTCTTTCTCTCTCAAAAATAAATACATAAACATCAAAAAAAAATCCACTTACATCTGACACAAATTCCACCTCTTTTTTCTTCCACACCACACTGCACTTATCCGCCTAAAACCGTCTTTTCAGGAGCATCTGATGCTCTGCAAACCAACTCACCCCTCAGCCCAGCCTGAGAGGCAGGCCTGTAGCTTGGGAATGGCCACAGGTGGCATTTACACCTGGTATAATTCTCGTGAGAGCTGTGTGGTCACTAGGACTGGTGAACCACTGAATATTTATCAGGTGCCCCCGCCCGTGTGCGATTCCATTTTCCCATGAAGAAAAGACAGTGGGGCTGGCCGAAGAGGAAGCTGAGGTGGGGGCAGGGCCCGTTTGTGGAGAGCCGCGCGGGCCCTAGCAGAGTTTAGATTTTATGCAAAATGCGGTGATTGCAAGGCTTAATGAAATGAAGGGCCTTGAACCAAGTTACATTTTCGGAAGCGCTTTCTGGAGAATGGACGGTGGTCGTGGCAGGTGAGTGGGGACAGGCCGCATTCCCATTGGAGATACGTCCTGGAGGTACAACTGAGGAACCTACTGATGGATTGGACCCCCTCCTGTTGCAGATTCAGGAAAGGCATAGACAAGGGCCAGCCTCACAGTGAGTACGGCGGGGAGGCTGGGGCCCCAGCCTAGTTCCGGTGGTGTGCCTCGTCGTGAAGGCTTTGAGGGATGAGTGCAGACAACTGAATCCAGCCCCACCTTAGAATTTCATGGACCCTGTGCCTGCTGCACTGTTTCGCCCAGACCCTCAGGCTCCCTGTGAGCTGGTTTAGGCCAGGCCCGATGGCCCTGCCTCAGTCCCACTGAGTTCCTTAGCAGCAGCTAAGGGAGCTTTGTTTCCATTTTGCCCAGGAGATGACCCACAGTTAAATAACTCAACAGCGGGCAAGACAGATCTCAAACACATTCCGAAAGACCAAAGGGTTGTGGGGAGGCAGAAATCAAGAAATACTGGAACCCTATTTCCTCCAGTTCCTCATCGTGTGGGCTTCTGGGAGAGAAGGGTAGACTCTGTCCTTTCTCTGAAAGAGGACTGTAGGAACAAAGCATCCTTTCCCCATCCCTCCTTTGGTAATTTCTGGAAGCGAAAGGACTTATCTTTATTGACTAAACATTGTCAAAAATAACTAGATACTAAAATAAACACAGGCCTCACTCAAAACCGCGAAGCCAAAGAGGCTGACCTCAAAGTCGCTTACCGTGTGAGTGTCTTACCCATTGTCATAGCTTCTGAGCCTCTCCAGACCCCACGGCCAGTGGTAAAGGGAGGCTGGGTTAGAGTCTATAGATTATTACCCAGTATCTCTCAGCAAGATGACTTTAGCCCAAGAACACATGCCTAGGGCCTGTTAGTCTTGGCCCGTCTAAGGCTGGAACTTGGAGGAAGAGTGAAAATCCTACTTTGTTTCAACCTCCCACATGGCAGAAGCAGGAAGTGGTTTGTTTGATCCTGAGCAGACTAAAGGGGCCCCCGCTAAAATTTAGGCTGAGGTTCCTCATCCTTCTTGTTGAAGCCCTTCCCAAGCAAAAACCAATATCCTTCCAATCTTCTGGGTGTTTGGAGTTGCCTGTTTGCTTGGGTTTTGCCATCAGTGTGGAATTTCTTTTTGTTTGTTTTTTACAACTTTCCCCAAACTCAAAGAAATGTCACTGGAACCTCTGGCAGCTATTGCCTCTCAATCACAGAGCACCCGGTGAGCAAATCTACCCCCCATCCCCCACCCCAGGTGTCTGTCTGCCTCACCACAGCTCTGGATGGCATCTGCGTCTGGAAGAACATTACCTAGATAGGATCACTGGGCGGCGGTCAATAAATTCTCGAAGCCGGATGGCAGCCATGGTGGATGGGAGTCTAAAAAACATTACAGAGTGAAGGTTTATATTGCAAATGTATACACACTATGTACTATATCACATATACACTAGACACACAGTCCACTTCCATGTGACAGCTGTCTAGTGCCACAAAGTCTGTCTGGAAAGAAATAACAGTAAGAAAATTGAAGAGTAAGGAGACTATCCATGGCTTCTTGTAGACCACTTAGGGAAGGAAAGAAACTAGTAAAGGGGGAAAAAAAGTGGAAAGCATAAGCCGATATGGGCGTGCCTGGGTGGCTCAGTTGGTTGAGTGTCCAACTCTTGATTTCAGCTCAGGTCATGATCTGACGATTGTGGGATTGAACCCTGTGATGGGCTCTATGCTGAGGAACCTACTGAAGATTCTCTCTCTCTCCCTCTGCCCCTCTCCCTGGCGCATGCCTGCTCTCTCTCTCTCTCTCTCTAAAAGAAAAAGAGCGGGGGGAGGGGCCAAGATGGCAGAGCAGCGTGACATTCTCTGCCTCTCCCATCCCTGAAATGCAACTAGATCAGCAACGAACCATTTTGCACACGTAGAAAATTGATCTGAGGATTAACACAACAATCTGCGAAACTTGAGCCACAGAGGTCAGCAGGAATTCACCCTAAAAGAAAAAAAAAAAAAAGAAACTACTGTGCAGTTGGGTCTTTAGTGTCTGTTCCCACCCTTCTTAGGTGCCTTCCTACCGCACTGGCTCATGGGCTTTGCATTACATGTCCAGACTCCCTGGCACCTAGAACTCTGGATAGGATTTCGACTCCTCCAAATCCAACAGACCGGGCTGAGATCTGGAAGGCAGAAACGAGGCAGAGGCCATTTCCTGCTGCTCATGAAGCTGCGGTGTGGTGAGTGTCTGCAGCACAAGGCAGGGGCTGGTCTCCAGCACTGGGTGTCATGAAGCAAGTGCATCGAAGACAGTGACTGAGGCCACATTCTGGGGTTCAAACACCATCTTTAGGAGTATGGAGCGAGCACCGCAGTGGCCATGCTGGTGGCTTTGGGAGTAGGTTCTGGAAGCAGCTTCCGGAGTAGGGCACAGGTAGCTGCTCCCATGTTGGGTCAGTGTTGTGGAGGCGTTCTAGAAGCTTCCTGGAAGCCTTCCCCAGAGTCTGCTTCTCATTGTCCCTCTGATGATTTTTTAAGGACCTCACCATCGACATCGAACTCTTTCTTTTTCCTAGACGTAAACATGCAATCTAGATTGTTTCTAGTCTACGATTCACATTGCAGCTGATTATCTCCCGTAGAGGAAGACTTTCCGCGGAAAACCACTACACATGAGTATTCTCTTGAGAAACAGTCCACGATGGGAAGAGAAACGGAGTGCCTGGGAGACAGAGGTGGGAGAAAGCCTTACTTTTTTAATTTACCGTTGGGGTACCTCATCAATTCTGTACCGTGTGTTTGTATTATGCGTATGCGCAGACCGCTGGGCCTGTGTCTGCATAAGTGGGGTAAAGAATAGCACAGCAGTGGAATGTCTGACTGATACCCACGTGGCTAGAGGAAATGGGGAAAGTCGTCTCCCCGCAGGGGACCGGATGTGTGTGTCCCCTACCCCTGAGCTCCTTAAATTCACGTGTGAAATCCTGATCCCAAATTGGTGGTGTTTGGAGGCGGGGCCTTTGAGAAGGAAAGAGGGCGGGGACCCCGCGAATGGAACCGGTGCAGACCGCAGAGGGCTCACTTGCTCTCTTCTGTCTCGTGAGGACACAACAGGAAGTCGGCAGCCTGCAACCCGGAAGAGGGGTCTCAGCAGAAGCCCCACCAGGCTGGCGCTCAGATCTCGGCCTTCCAGCCTCTAAAAGTGTGAGGAATACATTTCTGGTGCTTGTAGACCACCCAGGCCACGGGAATTCGTTACAGCGGCCGGAACAGACTAAAGCAGCTGCTCTGTGTTTTGATGATTACAATACCTATCTGGAGGGTTAAGGGAGGCAATAATGCGTGTGTGTGTGTGTGTGTGTGTGTGTGTGTGTGTGTGCTGTACACAAAACAGCACCTTTGCGAACAGAGAAATATGAGTTTCTATGTATGGGCGTGTACTATGTGTCAGGTGACATGAAACCCGCTATTTTATGGACCAAAAAAAAAAAAAAAAAGTACTGGGAAATAAGTTGTACAAGGACACTGAGCAACCAGGATGGGGATCCATTTGGTTCCAGAAACATTTGACTACTATGCTACATCGCAAAAACCACAGAGCGCCCAGACCATCAGCCAAAACAAAAGCGGGACAGCCCCCAAAGAAGCAGTAACCTTCTTTGGTTAGGAGATAGGTCGGAAAGCAAGTGCGTGGTGCCTCCTTCTTCCCTTTTCTAGTCAAAACTAGTCCACGGACCATTCACAGGCCAGCTAGCTGCGTTATTTCGCCTCTGAATGTATTTTTCAAGCAGCTTGAACATTTTCAGGCAAGATTATATTAGAATAGTTTGGCTATCCAGTGGAGTCTGCTCATTATGTAATCTGTGTTTTTCTTTTAGTGCTAGTGTGATTATTAAAAAAAAAAAAAAAAAAAAGAAAAAAGAAAAAAACACCCAAGAAGTAGAAAGAACAAAAGAGAAAATCCGAGTAAACACCATTGAGCTCCTGCTTGAACTCGGAAAGCTTTGTGACTGCTGGGATTTTCCTTCACCAGACGTGACATGCCGGAGAGAAGAATGGAAGATATTCAGGACATTTGCGCTTCACTAAGACAACACCGCGTCTGCCTTTTGAGGATAGAGTGATTGCTCAGTGCCTAGGAATTCTGAATCAACACCGGAGGGAATAAACCAGTCCTGGGCTGCCATGCTTTGGCCGGGCCACAAAAAACATTTTCGGAGGAACACACGAACAGCCCCCACGGAATCTGAGCTCTCAGAATCATCGGAAGACATTGTCTGGCAATGGTTGCAACCTGTCCTTCTGCATCCCTAGAGAACGGTTGCTACCACATATACAGGCTACCAAGTCACATCTTGTGTGATTACTTGTCATCTCTGGAACAAATAAGAGAATGTAGTTTGCAGTAAGACGTGTCAGTTCGTTTTATTTTAGTCGATCGTGAAAAATAGATTCACATGCCAAATCTGAAGGAGATGATTACGCACGCATGTTAAGCTTGCCATCACTTCCATACTCGCAGCCAACACTGTGCAACCACTGTTCTCGGCACCCTGGACAATGGAACTTTCATCTCCTTTAAAATACAGACTCTTTGTTGGTCGCTTGAATAGAAGATTCTTCCTCGGAGGTGCCCCAAATAAAATCCTTCCGGGACAAAGGTGAGTTCTAGCTGGATCCCTATACATACGTTCCATTCCATTTTGAATTAGCCTTAGGGAGCCTTAAACATTTTTCTTGTTTTAAACTGCGGGCGTAATTATGCTCAAAGTGAATAATGCTGTAAAATAAGATGAAAATTATCCACAAACTATTTTCATTTTTTATGTTTTATATACATTATATATGTACATACTTAAATACTCGAAACCACGGCAGATCTCCTGTTTTATATTCTCTGCTTTTCACTTAATGAGGTATCATGACATTTTTCCACATTGCTACAGAGTATTCTTAATTCTAATGTTTAAGGTTCCTTTATGTTGTTTGGTGAGGTCCAACCATCACTTTATTTAAAATAGTACCCCATTCCTCTCCCACGCCTGGACTCCTCCCTGTTCTATGTTTTATTTTTCTCCAAAATGCTCATCACCACCTGCTGTACTACATGTTTACATATGTATCTTATTTAGGTCTGTCTCCCCATCGGAAAGTAGTCTCCATGAAGACAGGGAAGTTTGTCTCTTATCCTCACTGCTGCATCCCTAGGGCCAAAGATAAAAATTGGCACATGGTGGACATTTCATAAATATTTATTGAGTAACCGAATATGCTGGAATTTATGAAACCCAGTCCCATAGTACTGGCCATTTTGATCTTGCTGAATATAAATATATTTTGATTCTAGGAAATTCATTCCTTAAGGTACATTCCTAAGAATGAGATAAGATTTGGGCAACTTCATGGCTCTTATTTAGGAGAATTGTAACCACTTCCAATTAATTAATACCGGCACATAAACCACTGTGGTTAGACTCCCAGGGCACAGAAATGAAAGCTTAATAATAGAATTTTTTATTATTCTGATGTTCAGAAGGTGAACTAAGGTACACGAGTAAAAGACGTAACGTTGCAACAAACTGCCTCAACGTTAATGTTCAACATACTGAGTTAGAGACAAAGGTATAAGATTTATCTTGTCAACATTTTCAGCAACTTTTTGGTATTACAGAATATATTATGGATCAAATCAGAATTCTGTTAAATAATATAACAGTCAAAAATCTGATAAAACCTATCCACTTATGGTAAAATTTCTTAGCCAACCATGAGGGAAGTTTTTCAACCAGATGAGGAACATCTATAGAAATTTACAGCTAACATCATACTTAATGGAGAAAGACTGATTTCTTCCTAAAATCAGAAATAAAGCAAGGATGTCACTCTTATCACTCCTATTCAACATAATGCAGGCAGTCCTACACAGTACAATAAGGCCAGGGCAAGACATATAAGGCATATAGATGAAAAGGAAGAAAACTCTCCCTATTTACAAATGATATAATAGTTTATGTAGAAAATCCCAAGGAGCCTATGAATAAATAAATAAGCTTATTTATTTATTTTGAGAGAGAGAGAGAGAGAGAGAGTGCACATGAGCTGGAAGAGGGGCAGAGAGAGAGAGAGAGAGAGAGAGAGAGAGAGAGAGAGAGAAGGAGAGAGAATCCCAAGCAGGCTCCATGCTCCACACTGAGCCTGACACGGGGGCTCAATCTCCCCACTGTGAGATCATGACCTGGACTGAAATCAAGAGTTGGATGATAAGTCCAGACAACTGAGCCGCCCAGGCGCCCCAAAACAAATAACGTTTTTAACAAGATCATAGGATACAAGGTCAACACACATAATTATATTTCTATACTTTAAATAAAAAATTGGAGCCCAAAATTTAAAACACAACTATTCATAATAGCTCAAAAGAAAAAAGGAGAAACATCATGCACAAATCTAACAAGACATGCACAGACTCTGTATGCTGAAGGCTACAGAATTGATGGAAGAAAGCAAAGACCTGAGAGATATACTATGTTCATGGTTTGGGAGACTCAACATAGTAAAGATGACAATCTGCCCAAATTGGATCTGGTCAAACTACCCAGTAGGAGTTTTTGGAGAATATAGATGAGTTTATTCTAAAGCTTATTTGGAAATGCAAGGGAACTAAAATAGCCAAAACAATTTTGCAAAAGAGTAGCCGCCCTCTGTGGGAAACAATGGGAAGGGCCTCATCCTGGGCTGACGCTCATTATCCACCAGATAGTTGTCACATATGCTGTTTCACTCAATCCTCTCAGGAGTCCTGAGAGTTTTCCTTCATTATCCTGAATTTCTAGTAGATGTTAAATTTCATGTTGAAGGTTACATGGCCAATAAACAAGAAAAGGAAAAAAAAAAGCCAAATCTGTTTGACTCTGAAGCCCTTCTCCTCCTGCTACAGTGCCACTGACTCATTGATCCACTCAACAGATATTTCTTGATCAACCACCTTTGCTTGGCACTGTGCCAGGCACTAAGGAAAAAGCATTTAGCAAGAGACATGTGGCTCTGCTTTCTCGTTACTTACCTGCTGGAAGGAAATCAAGTCTGATACTAATCACAACGTCACACAAGTTGATACGAAATTGAAGCTTCGTAGCTTCTAAAACAGAATCCTTGACAAGTTTCCTCGACAAGTTACCTTTCAGGTGGTTGAGTGGCTGTGTCCCCACACCCCACCCACGCTCTTTTTCAGTATTTTATTATGTTTTCAATGTTTGTTTTTGAGAGAGACAGACAGCATGAGTGGGGGAGGGGCAGAGAGAGAGGGAGACACAGAATCTGAAGCAGGCATCAGGCTCTGAGCCTGATGTGGGGTTCAAACCCACCAACCGTGAGATCATGACCAGAGGCGAAGTCGGAGGCTAAACCGATTGAGCCACCCGGGTGCCCCCCGCCCCCCGCCTCCGAATTTTTCAGAATTTTAAAGGAAAAGGCTCCAAGAACAGATGTCACCTTTGCTTCAAAAACCTGAACATTTTCCCTGATAGGAAGCATGTGATAAGCTTTCCTCATGTAGATGGGCTTTCTGTGGTTTAAAATTTTAAAGTGACATCAATTTTTTATGGTAGGAAGGACTAAAAATAATATTTGTTAAATCAGAGGTTAGATCCTCCCAGTATGAGATTGAGTGGAACCAGTAGTAACTGCCTGGTGAGTTTAATAAGCTTGTGAACCTCAAATAACTAGCAAGTTTTATCACTTAATTAATCTGTTCAAAGAAGGAGCAGAGGCAGAATAGTAGTCAGGGTCCCAAGATTCTAATGTTATTTATCCGTAATTTTGGGAAAATTCGAGAAACAGAGGGTGGCATTTAAACTGGTATGTAAGTAGCAACAATTGGTTTTCTAGATGTACTTTAAAACCCCAGAGCCGCGGGGCGCCTGGGTGGCGCAGTCGGTTAAGCGTCCGACTTCAACCAGGTCACGATCTCACGGCCCGTGAGTTCGAGCCCCGCGTCGGGCTCTGGGCTGATGGCTCAGAGCCTGGAGCCTGTTTCTGATTCTGTGTCTCCCTCTCTCTCTGCCCCTCGCCCGTTCATGCTCTGTCTCTCTCTGTCCCAAAAATAAATAAACGTTGAAAAAAAAAAAAAAAACCCCAGCCCCCTGCGCCCCCCCCCCCCCCCCGCCTTTCCTTGGAGGTGTGGAATGGGTACTCAAGGTGTTGGCAGAGGTTGGGCCCCTGGGGAAAGCCACTCCTTAGTGATCTGACAGTGCAGAGAAGCCGTGGGGTGGGGGCTTGCTCAGAACTGGTGTGACCCACCCTGGCTGGATGTATGACAGTGGCCTGGCTGATTGCAGGGTGGCTGTATAGTGGGGGTAATTGCTATCACTTGCCTTTGAGCATGTGTATTATGAGAAGAATTGAGAAGAGGGCTTTCCACCACTGAATGACCTGGACAGTCCCCTCCTTCTTCTGTTTCCTCAAGAAGCCAGTCTTCCCAGTTCAAGATTGGTCATCTACTCCCGCTTCCCAATCCTACTCTGAATTCTTTTTTTTTTTTTTCCAACGTTTATCTATTTTTGGGACAGAGAGAGACAGAGCATGAACGGGGGAGGGGCAGAGAGAGAGGGAGACACAGAATCGGAAACAGGCTCCAGGCTCCGAGCCATCAGCCCAGAGCCCGACGCGGGGCTCGAACTCACGGACCGCGAGATCGTGACCTGGCTGAAGTCGGACGCTTAACCGACTGCGCCACCCAGGCGCCCCCCTACTCTGAATTCTACTGCCTCAACGCTTTTTCTTCTCTTCTTCTGAATCTAAGTTCCACCCACCCTTCCTGGCCTTATTCAAGATCTGTGTCATATCCTCCAAGGCCTCTCTCTTCTGGGTTCCAAATGGTCCGTTGCCCACCTCTGGACTCCCAGAGCCCTTAATTAATCCTATAACACATTTTGGTTTTAAGACCTGTCTTCATTGGCTTATTGGTTTCTGAATTCATCTATTCATTCTATCGTTTAAGAGAACATTGAATGAGTAAAAAGTGTGTGCCAGGCCTCGGATAAGGCTCTAGAGATTCTTCAAAGCACAAGACATGAGTTTCATACAAGGTCTGGCCTGTCTACCTGAAATGCAAGTTCCTAGATGTGGGGCCATATTGTTTTGGCAGCCACTGTCTTCACTGTCCTTGTCCTTCTCCTGCCTCATTGACTGGCAAAGTACTCCCCATCCAAGGAAGTGCTCTGTGCGTACTTTGGAATGAGTGAATGAAAGAACCAATCAATCAGTGAGTCAACTCAATAACCTGCTAATCTAGTAAACAGTTTTTAATCTTTGTTCTTTTTGTTTTTTTGTTTTTTTTTTTAAATTTTAATGTGTATTTATTTTTGAGAGAGAGAGAGAGCATGAGCAGGGGAGGGGCAGAGAGAGAGGGAGACAGAATCTGAAACAGGCTCCAGGCTCTGAGCTGTCAGCACAGAGCCTGACATGGGACTCGAACCCACGAACCATGAGATCATGCCCTGAGCAGAAGTCAGAGGCTTAACCAACAGAACCACCCAGGTACCCTTTTAATCTTTGTACTTTTTGTATTGCAGAGAGCCAGATGCCTTTACATGGGTGTACGTCGTTTCTAAGAGAAAAAAAAATGTTGAGCTAAATCTACTCAAATAATTTAAAGCTGAGAGGTATGAATATTCACTTTCCAAAAGAATTCTTGGCTTTACAGAATGGTTTGCCACAAAGTTTGCTTAACTGTGAGTGCTCATCTCCAGAACATTCAAAATGCAATCAGCAATTTAGTACTACAAGCACTAAGTAAGAGGAGAGAGATGTTCCAGCAGTAATGACCGAACCGTTGTTACCTGCTTGGGCTCCAGTGGGTAGAGTCCTCTTTGTTCTTAAAAATCAGTCTTCTGAGGACAGTGGTTATTTCAGCCACCTCCGGGTGCTGGATATACTGCAAAAACACACTGCAGAGATATAGGGCTTGATCCTTCTACATCACTCAAAAGGCTATTGTGATGCACTGTGGGACAGAAAGTTTTGCTAGATGATGCCTGTCAGGTCATGGCCTTATAAAAAGTAAGGATCCTTTGGTCTCTATTAGAGCCAAGCTGCACAAGAAAGAAAGGGTGAAAATCAGGGTGGAAAAGAACACCATGTGGGCAAATAACCCAGACTATTTAATCATCAGAACTTTCTTTTCTGTAAAGAGTATTCCAGGGACAACATAAGGTTAAAGAGCTGGGTGGTGCGGTATTGGCATGTGCTACCCTTTGCAAGCTAGAATTGAGGAAGTAGGGCACACGAGGGACAAATGAACCCAGCTCTGCTTGGTCCAGCACTCAATTAGGCTCCATCCTGCTTCTACTGAGGCCATCAGAGGAGGCTTTTAATTGTTTACAGATACAGTTCAAACCAAACACGGAGCATCACAGCAGCACTACTATGTCGAATAGAGTCGTAACCTCAGAAGAACAGAATCGCAAATGTGCCTATTCAAACCAACCTTTACCAAAAACCAAAACCAAGATAAACCACGAGTATTATCTGCAGGACGCTGGCCTGGGCCCAGGACCACCCCTCAGTTAAATAGTGTTTGCAAAGAGGAAGTAAGGTATTTCCATGCAATTTTATTTATGTTTATTCTTATTAAATAATATTTTTTAATGTTTATTTTTGAGAGAGAGAAACAGAGCGTGAGCAGGGGAGGGGCGGGGAGAGGGGGAAGACACAGAATCCGAAGGAGGCTCCAGGCTCCAAGCTGTCAGCACAGAGCCTGACATGGGGCTTGAACTCACGAACCGTGAGATCATGACCCGAGCTGAAGTCAGGTGCTTAACCAACTGAACCACCCAGGTGCCCCAGTTTCCATACAATTTTAGGTGGAGAGACAAAGGGGTAGACTGGGGCTCCCACTGGGAGCCTCACCCACATGGAACAGAGACAATAGTAGTTTAATGCCAAAGTCTTGGTGACACAGCGCTTTGTTAAAAGTAGAGAGGTGGGGAAAGTTTAAAGAACAGAAGCAACCTACTGGGATTACACTAATAGAAGTGATAAATGGTTCTCATTTGCTGGGTAGGCACCTTCTATTGCCAGGCACTGTGTTAGCTATTTGACACATACCATTCCAAATCCCAGCCGTGGCCTCTGAAGGTAAATATCTCCATTTGAAATGAAGGCTAACAGAGGCGAGGGAACTCGCTGGAAGTCACAACCAGGCTCTAATAAGTCTACGGTTTGAACCTAGCGCTATCGGACATTGAAGCCCAGGTTGAATTACGTTTTAATTAAAATACATAAATTAAAAAATTTTTAAAGTTTCTTTATTTTGAGAGAGAGTGAGGGAGGGGACAGAGAGAGAGGGAGAGAGAGACTCTCAAGCAGGCTCCACGCTGTTAGCGCAGAGCCTGATGCAGGGTTTGATCCCAAGAACTGTGAGATTGTGACCTGAGCCGAAACCAAGAGTCAGTCACTTAACCGACTGAGCCACCCGGGTGCCTCTAAGGATAACAATCCATAGTCTTCATGAAGGAAAAGACAAACAAAAATGCCTTCATGTTATTCATGGAAATAAACCTGACAATACAAAAAAAAAGTACAGAGAAGAAAGTTAAAAATGAACATAAATCTCATGAGTCAGAAATTATCGTTGTCCTGGATAAGTTAACATCAGTTTAGATGTCCTTCTGAACATATGAACAGATTGACATTAAGAGTTACATGGCTGAGGGACACCTGGGTGGCTCGGTTAAGCGTCCGACTTCGCTGGGATCATGATCTCATGATTTGTGGGTTCGAGCCCTGTGTTGGGCTCTGTGCTGACAGCCTGGAGCCTGGAACCTGCTTCGGATTCTGTGTCTTCCTCTCTCTCTGCCCCTCACCTGCTCACGCTCTGCCTCTCTCTGTCTCTCAAAAATAAATAAACATGAAAAATTAAAAAAAAAAAAAAAAGAGTTACATGGCTGACTTCCAAGGAAGAGGGCGGAGTAGAAAGACTCTAAGCTGACCTCGTCCTGTGGATACAACTAGATAACACCCCCCATCACTGTAAATAAGCTAGAAAATGACCTGAAGACTGGGAGAACAAACTCTACAACTAACTGTAAAGAAGAGGCCAGGGGCGCCTGGGTGGCTCAGTTGGTTATGTGTCCAGTTTTAGCTCAGGTCATGATCTCACGGTCCATGGGTTCAAGCCCCACATTGGGCTCTGTGCTGACAGCTTGGAGCCTGGAGCGTGCTTCCGATTCTGTGTCTCCCTTCGTCTCTGCCCCTCCCCCACTCATGCTCTGTCTTTCTCCATCTCTCAAAAATGAATAAACGTTAAAAAAATTAAAAAAAAAAAAAAAAAGAGGCCACGTTCAAGAGGGTAGGAAGGGTGGAGTCCCAGGGCAGAGCTAAATGGACTGTGGTCCTCAGTGCTAGGGAGAGGGTCACAGTCTCAGAGGGGGAAGAGAAACAGACTCCCACACCCTCGAGCCCACATGTGAAGACAAATCTCTATAGCATTTGACTTTGAAAATTAGAACGACCGAATTTCGAAAGTTCTTACAACTAGTGGGACATAAAGCCTTGAACTTTAAAAATCAGGGCTCTGGTCTGGGAGAGCCTGGAGGGTGATAGGAAACCATCCCCACCTTTAAAGAGACAGCATGACAACCCTCTGAGATACAGCTTAGAGACAGCAGTTTGAAAAATGCCTGGGGCGAACGGGAGGAAGAGTTATTTATTAATTGCGCCTGCAGGAACCAGAGGGGCCCCAGCATTCACCGCCTAACTTGCTTACACTGCACCCCACTGCCTCCAGCCGGGCTTGCGTGTCTCAGTCCTGGCCCCGCAGCTCCCCCACCCCCCGCTGCAGAAGACTAGCGCAAACCATGCCAACACTGCTTCTCCTCCCCACGCACTTTGCGGGACCTCGGTCCTTGTGGCGGCAGCCTGTCACCTCCCACGGAGGACGTGGACACCTCGCTCAAACCGCATGCCTTGCCTGCACGCACTTCGCAGAGGCAGCAGCTGGCCCCACCTCAGCATCGGAGGCATGTTCCCTCTGGCAGAGGACCAGTGCCACCTTGTTAAAGGATCAGTGCCTGCCCCACCCATGACTTTCAAGAGCTGACTTTCCTCGCACACAGAACCAGACACAGAGAGTTAGACAAAACGGGGAGACAGAGAAATATGACCCAGTGAAAAAAATGGGACAAAATTACAGCCAGAGGCCTAAGCAAAACTGAGATACATAATATGCCTGAGAGAGAATTTAAAGTAATGATCACAAAGCTACTGGGCTTGAGAAAAGAGTGGAGAACATCAGTGAGACCCTTAGCCAGGAGATTTAAAACAAAACAAAACAGAACATCAGAAATGAGGAACACAATAGTTTGGCAAGAGTACTGCATAGGAGATATTGTGGCATATGACGTACTTTTAAAGACCTAACTGGGCACCTGGGTGGCTCAGTCGGTTAAGGGTCCAACGTCGGCTCAGGTCATGATGTCATGGTTCGTGGGTTCGAGCCCCACATCGGGCTCTGTGCTGACAGCTCAGAGCCCGGAGCCTGCTTCGGATTCTGTGTCTTCCCCCTCTCTCTGCCCCTCCCCTGCTCACACTCTGTCTGTCTCAAAAATAAATAAACATTAAAAAATTTAATTAATAAAGACCTAACCCAGATGTATGTCAATCATACCTCATAATGTGATTAAAAAAAAAAAACCACCACCACCAAGTCAGATAAATTTTTTTTTTTTTTTGCTTTTACACAGTACAAATGGTTACTATTAACTTGATGACAAAATTAATTTCTTGGAAGAATGAAGGAATAATGAGATTCACCTCAGGAGGCAGGCACCAGGCCAGGTCTTGGATCCTCAGACACAGGGCTTCCTGGTGTCCTGGGACTTGAAACTGATATGAAAATGACACAGCCTGTCTGTCAGGGGCTCAGATCACATAGCACGAATGCAGCCACTGGGGAAATAGGATCGGAGAGCCACTCCAACTGCCTTCTGTTTAAGTGATGATGGCAACGGATTATCAGAGGGGGCCGATGTAAACACACTTTTACTTGCTTTATTTGTTTGATCCTCCTAACAAACGAGAGATAAGAACGTCTCTGAAGAATCCCAAAGCAACAGAATGTCTCCTAAATCACAAAATTGTTTTAGGCATGTTGGGGGTGGAGTGTTTGTCACCCCCAAATTCATGTATTGAAGCCCCAAGCCCCAGGGTGATGGTGTTTGGAGATGGGGACTTTAGGAAGAAATTAGGGATAGATTGGTCATCAAGGTGGGGTCCCCATGATGGGTTTAGTGCCCTTAAAGGAGAACAAGAAAGAGAGAGATCCCCCCCGCCCCACATGTGAGGACGCAGTGAGAAGGTAGCCACCGACAACTCAAGCAGAGTCCTCTCACAGGAGCTGAATGAGCCGGCACCTTGACCTTGGACTTCCCAGGCTCCAGAGCCATGAGCAATAAATCCCTGTTGTCTAAGCCACCTCGCCTGTGCTGTGTTGTGGCAGCTGGAGTGGACTAAGACAATGCGTCTCAGTCGTCTGCCTTCTGGTGGTTACTTAAACCACTGACATCCTGGTCACCCAAGCCATACATTTGCGAATCACCGAGGAATCTTCCGCAGGGGGAGCCTGGGCGGCTCAGTCGGTTTAGTGTCCGACTTCAGCTCCGGTCACGATCTCACGGTTCGTGGATTCGAGCCCCGTGTCAGGCTTTGTGCTGACAGCTCGGATTCTGTCTCCCTCTCTCTCTGCTCATGCTCTCTCTCTCTCTCTCAAAAATAAATAAACATTAAAAAAAAAAAAAAAAAAGAATCTTCCTCAGCCTTCACCTCTAGCATCTCACCAACTAGAGTTGGTGAGTTCTTCCCTTTAGTTCTTTAGTTAGTTCTTCCCTTACTAGACTCATGGTGCCGTTCTCACCTCACCCTCTACTTTGCTGTGAGGCTAAGCCTACTGGTTGCCTC